GACAGGTGAAGAAGAGCATGCCAGATTACCATTCCATCCTTTGCGATTTTATGTTTTGGTTTATTATTGGAACAAATGTGAAATTTTCAACTTTTCTCTCCCATTTTTTATCAACTAATCCTAATAATTGAGAATTGTAATACCGAGGGGTTTCGTTTTCTCAAAATTAACTCTCACTTTCTCTTTACTTTTCCCAAACAGGGAAATTCAAATTTCATTTTTTTAAAGAAATATGTGAAAGATAATATAAATGAGTAATGATATACGATCGGACCCCATGTTCAAACACGACATGTGGTGCTCGAGCATGAGGTCCCCCCGAGATTAGGCTGGTTCCCTCGAAGCTGGTCCAGGATCCTCAAAGTCCTAGGCCCAGGACTCCAGTGCCTATGCCTGAGTCCCCTGCAGCCAAGCTCGATTCCCAGGCGACCGGGCTAGGGTCCTCAACGGTAGGACCAGAGACCCCTAGGGCCAGGTCCCCCGAGGCCGGGCTTAGGGCCAAGTGCGGGACCTCGGGGCATGAACCTAGGGCTTCCGGGTCCCTAATAATTTTAGAGTTTTTTAAGTAATTGGGTGAACAGCTAAGTGATCAATGATGTGGAGCACCCAAGAGTTTCACCATTTTGTAAATGTTCGGGACGAGACTACTCATAAAAAGAACATACTCTCCCTTACATTTGTCTAAATATGGGACTTGATTAGTTCTTTTGCTTAAACAAGTTACTCCACATTATTTTCTAGTCGAATTCTTGCATAAACTGCTAAAAACATAGTCCAAGGCCATACCGTTAGTGTTTTTTTTTTTTTTTAACTTGAATCAAGTATTGATTTTTACGGGGATCGACTTCTTCTGCTCTCTCTTTTCCATGATATCGTGATTTCTCTCTCGAATCCAATCTTAGTTTATGTGATTCCGTGGTCCTACCCAAATCGTCTGTCATGATCATATGATCAAATCATCATCTGCAGTCCAGCTTTAGGAGAAAGAAAAAATGATGGACAACGATCGCTAGTTGTAGGTGTCCCCAACTATAAGGGGAATTATCCTATTTCCTGTCGAGATATACTTCTAAAATCATGCTTACTTCGTCCCGAGAAAAATCAGCTCATTTGGACTCTTTTGTTTCACTCATTTGGACTCTTTTGCTATACTTGAGTGTCGCAATCAAAGCGTGTTCTCTGAGGCTAGATTAAGGTTAAATAGATCGTGGGGAATCTGTTCGATAAGTCTTCTCGAGTTGGGGAAAGACGCACCACGAATCAAGTTAAGATCTCCAAAGAGGGCAAGTGATCATGATTTCTTTGCACGTAAAGCTTCTAACATGTGATTACTTTCGGGAGCATATTAGCAAAAGACTCCCATTCAGTTTGGGCAGACCTAAGTAACGTTTTGGGGTTGGTCTCTCTCGTCCATTATGGGAATATGACTATTAAGAGCTCGAACTATTTGAACTGTGTTAATTAGGTGCGACAATCGATTTCCCTAGCGTGCTGGGCTAGGTTATCGGTCACTCATCTGAGTTGGGTCTCCTGCACAATTTTAAGAACGCTATGGTCTCGCATATGTCAAGAGATATTAAACTTGAGAGATCTCACAATTTCCTTCATGTATATTGAGACGAGAGACTCCCAAACTAATACGATATTAGATGGATGCCTAAGGTACTCGAAAACTTTGAAATAATTAAAGAAACTTTTCATACAACTTGTCAAGTTAAATTTCGGCAGGATTAGGGCATTCTGATCTCGAAAATAATGTCTCGGTATTTAAACTAATATAAATTATCTCACTCATTAATGATGAAAAGTCCATATATATATGTGTGTGTATATCTATATATAACCACCAGTATGACTTATCGAACAAATCCCCCGAACTATTGTTAATTAATTGAGACATAGAGGCGAGGGATATTCTCATCATATTTGTGGAGAAAGAGTTTCGTGATCGTGTTGAATGTGCCCTTACATCTATTTAACGTTCTAGAAATGGACCTACATAACAAATAAATAATCATGAGTGAGATTGTTTGGAAGTGGAATTCTGGATAAATCAGGTTTATGTAGGGGAGTGCGTCCTTACAATAGCCCCGGAAGATAGGCTAGTCAAACTGTGCGATAACTGACTCTGACATGACCAAGCCCGTTTTGCTCAGAAAAATAAAATAAGATGGCCACGTAATTTCAATTCATAAATTTCCATGTTTAACTTCTTCATCCATGTCCTTTCAGTCATTTGCAAGTTCATTACGTGATAACATCCTAAATTCAGTGCTGCTCACATTGCATGCGAATGCTAGCGATTAGTTCGATTGTCACATCCTGTTATTCTTCTTTTAGTTGACCACAACCCACAAAAATAAAAGTAAAAAATACAGAAAATTTGTAGCGATGTAACTTTGCATTGACCCACCTCTCCTCTCTGTTTCCCACTACCCATATTGAAACAAAGAAATCAATTAATTATCCTCCTCGTGTAAATACATCAATTAATTAAAAGAAACCGAAATAGGTACCTCAAGAAATTTCGATTAAACAAAAAATAAAGTTAAAGTTTATATCGATACAGTTACTCATTATGTATGTATCCTTGATATAATTCAATGGACCTTCCTTCTATTAAATTTTAACGTTGTATTCGTCTGGATTAACATAGATTTGATGAGCAATAAAGTGACAAGATGCTCAAATGGCCCCGACTTTAATCGCGTTTAGCCTGCTCAATTTCGATGAACACAAACCTTGTATCCCAAGAAAACGACGCCCCGAAAATCATTTAGCTTGGTAATCACTAATCGGCTTAGCTAATTCTTCACTTACTTTCAACAAATTCGGTCTCCTTTTTGAAACTTCTTGTAGACGTTCAATTGAATTTTTTTTTTTTTGGTCAAACTGTGTCGATTGCTGAGTCATTTGACAATCAAGAAACAGCTGCATCCCACACCTCCAGTCTCAGCTTAAAATTGACCTATCTATCGCTCCTTTGGTCCTACACTATGATTTCAGAAGATGTTCTTTGAGGTCGGTGAAGGAAATTAGAAATGAAGGAAATTATTTCTCTTGTGTTATTAGAAATTTATAGGAAGTAAAATATGAAGGAAATATCGGTAATTAAATTACTTTTATTTTGGAAAAAAAAAGGAAAAAGGAAAGGGGAAAAGAGCATACGAGATTACCATTGCATCCTTTATGATTTTATTTTTCGATCTTACATTGAGGGTAAATGTGGAACAGACGTACGATTCTTAACTTTTCTCTCCATTTTTCATCTCCTAATCCGGATTATTGAGAATTGTGATCCCGTTTTTTTTTTATCAGGTTCAACACTCACATTCTCTCTACTTATTCCAAACGGCAAAGAAATCTTGGATCTTATGGGTTTATAAAGAAAAACGTGAAAGACGATATAGATGATCATAGGTGAAATTCCGACTTTTCATCTTTGCATTTACGCACTTTCGGCAGTTAAATTCTCGAGCTATTAATTTGTTTAATCAAGTTTTTGAATTTGAATAAGTTTTATAATCAAGTCTCTAATGTATCAATTTCAGTCAATTCGAGCTAACGTGAACATCGAATCATGCGAAGTATGACGCGGGATATATTTTGTCTCTATGGACAAGCCCATTGTGGAAAGATGTATCCAGTTTTTTAATTTGAATAAGTTTTATAATCAAGTCTCTAATGTATCAATTTCAGTCAATTCGAGCTAACATGAACATCGAATCATGCGAAGTACGACGCGGGATATATTTTGTCTCTATGGACAAGCCCATTGTGGAAAGATGCCTCCATTAAATTGCATAATTTTTCTTTTTTGTCCATGTCATTTTCTACTATGGCTTGTCCTAGGTATCTTACTCCTACATTTTTTAATGAGAAAAATTATCCAATCAATTGTAAACCTATTATACGAATACCAAATTCAATCATAAAGTTTTCAATTTTGTCAATTTACTCTTGAACCTTTACGCAAAATTTCAATGTAGTCCTTCCGATCAATTTTCATCAGAAATCTCTAACACGACAATGTGCCATGTAGAACAGTCGGCAATAACTGAACCGCCACGTTTACAGTTTCCGGTGAAAATTGATCGAAATGATTATATTGGAATTGCGCGCAAATGTTTAGAATTAAATTAGCAAAATTGAAAACATACATTAGGTCTAAAACTGATTGGATAATTTTCCCTCTTTCAACGGCTACATGGCTTGAAATGATCAAAATCAGTATAAGAGGAGCTTGATCAAATCAGGCTTCACTTGTTTCTATCTATTCATTTTCCACCTTTTTCGGCGTTTGAAAACGCTTAGAAAAAGGAGTTAATGAAAAACCTTACTTAAATTTCTAAAAATGACTTCCTATTTAAAAATCAGTAACCATTTTTTTTTAAATATACGACTGGACCTTAGTCCTCGAATAAGATCCCCGATGCTCGGGCCTAAGGTCCCCCAAGGTCAAGCCGTTTCCCCGAAGTCTAAGCTACGATCCCTGGAACCCGCGCCCGTATCCCCTGAGACTGGGCCCAAGACTCCTGCACTTGTGCCCGAGTCTCCAGTGACTAGACTAGGGACCTCAATGGCTGGGCTAGACATCCCTGGCGCCAGGTCCCTAGAGGTCGAGCTCGGGTCCTCCATGCCCTGGTTCGAGTTCGAGTCCCCTATGCCAAACCCGAGACCCTGGCACAAAAGCCTAAGGCACCCGATGCCCGAACCCGGGTCCTTGGTTTTCGAACCGAGCCCTAGAGTAACAAACATTAGACTACCATATTATCTGAAAATTTTAGCCAAACATAAGAAAATCACTTTCCTTGAAGATAAGTTCGTTTGAAAATACTTTTTCTCATTTTCCGGAGACTCAAACCCTAATCTTGCCATTACTTCCAAAGTTTAATTTATGCGGATGCTTCCGCAAATTTACGAGGAGCCTATGTTTTAGAGAAAGCATCATTAGGACTGACAAAAACCCAAAAAAGAAAACAAGACAGCAACCTCAGTACTTTCGCAAATACAACCTTGACCAGTCAGTCTTTCATATGTGAATAATTACATTATTCAGCTACGCCGGGACGACTAAATCAAAACTGGTATCACCCCTAATTCAGAACAATTAATGATGCAGAAAACGGGTCCCAAAAAAGATGATCTAACCGGAACATTCAATCTGCTCTCAAGTTGGGCAAAGCTTCCAGAGCAACCTCTCTCCCACTTGATCTTTCAGGATGAAGTCTCAATTCCTGGCTCGCGAATTTGAATTGACGTTCTTGACAAACTAGCTTCAAGTTCATTTAATTCATCCATGTCCAGCTCGTCGTCGTCGTCATCGAGCAGGACCTCTTCAGATTCGGCCACCGCACTTCTTGATGTGCTCGGTCCCCCCTCTGCTGATTTCTCTCCTCCCTGAAATTGAACAAATGCAAAGGTAAGAATAAAAGATATAGGACCGTAGAACTCAAAAGATTAACAAGCACGGATATCTTTGAGCCAGCCTCCACACATCAAATGTTGCTCCCTTCAAAGGGATACCAAAAGGTGATGGATATGCACTAGTTCACTCTTTGGACACAGTAATTGCACATTCGACATGCTTTAGCAGATTGGTCAACATCAGCAGTTATTACGAATTACCACTTCATCAACTGTATATTGTCATCGGGTTACTTGAATTAAACAGACAATTTTTTTGCAAATTTAAGAGACCATTTTGATACCAATGCTCTGTAGCCAACTACGATCTGCAATTACGGTCATACTCCAAAGCCATAAGAAACTTTTAGCTTCCTAATTGCTAAGAGCCTAAATTACTATATAACCCCAAAAAGAAAGGTGAAGAGGGTTTACATTGTCTTTGGCATCTTCCAGTTCTTCATCTCTCTGGTACTTCTCATATGCCTCAGCATCATCCACAAATAAGCTAGCATCTGAAAGAAACAACTCGCGCCCACTGAAGTGACGGCAAACCGCATTAGCATCATATCCTCCCAACAGGTTTCTCCTAGTACACAGGAAAAAATTAAAAATAATACCTCATGCGGTCATTCTTGGCCCTTTCTGCTCGCTGAGCAGCCAAACCGGCTTCCCTTTCGTCAATCTTTTTCATCTTCCATTGCATGAATAAATCGGGAGTCATTGGAGTTGAAGCAGTCAATTTCGATCGCTGAAGTAATCAAAGATTCAAAATGTAAGCAGCAATCTTGATGTATAGTGATGGTACATGCAGATACTTATCAGGAAAATAAAATTTCTGGCTGCTGTTGAAACAAATTGGAAAAAAAAAACGCTAGTTTTCTTATTATGACGGAAAATATGGTCGATGCTGATAACCTGGTCTTCAATCTCATCTTCAATGGGGGCCTTTTCAGCTTCTTCCTCAATAAGTGCCTTCATTTGCGACTTTAAAACATATCCTGGTGGTAAAGCATGTCTATAGTGGCACTCTTTTCCACCGTTTGGGCATACCCAGAACCAACCATATTGTTTCTTTTCAACTGCCTCCAAAAAGTACTTGCAAACCTGTTTACACAAAACCATGATCATATGTTATTCTAACAAGGAAGAAAATATCAAGGTCCTTCTTAGAACATAACAAAGACTTATAGTATGAATGCCAAGAGACATCTCCAGAAAACAAACAATAAAGTCAAGCATGGACTGCTGTGAGGGAGCACATATGAAAAGATTTTTCTACCAAAGTGAAATATACATGATGTGTTCAATCACAAGACAATAAGTAACATTAAACTGATGGGCCAGTCCTTTGTGCATTTCTTTGTAGAGCAGATCATTAGTTTTGTAATAAAACTACAGGAATAAACCATCTTAACTATCTGAGGACAATCACAAGACAATAAGAACAGTGAAAGAAGCTTGCCCAACTTTAAGCAATACAGAGCAGTTGAAAGCCTATAGCTCGTTCACATGCAAGCCTCGGTGACTGTGTGCATGGATGAGAGAGAGAGAGAGAGAGAGAGAGACATACAATCTCAGTGGGCTTATTCTGATTATATTCGTTCTTCTTTGACTCCACAACCTTCTCCAATGTCTCTTGATCCCAATCCTCCATTGTTTCTTAAATCCGAAGTAATCATTATTATCAGACTGTAGGATAGCTCAAATATAGGACGCAAGACAGCTAAAGAAAGGCATGTGGACAACAATCCACAGAAAAGGCCAGCGAATTACCTTCGTCGCGTTTATCGCTGTAAATGTCTATCTTCTCACCCTTCCTTTGGACATTCAAATCATGGGAAAATTTGCATTTAAAGCCTTTAGTACACTGCCCCGCCTTGTAAAATTCGCATAATATAGATTTGGGATCAACACCTATCCACCAAAACACCATACTATATTGAAGAAAGTAAAATCTACAGATAAGTTACTTCCCACTATAAATCACCAAGAACTATAAGTACAATTCGTGGACGAGTCGACGACAACTATTGCTCCAAAGAGGCTAGAAGTACGAAGTAATCACAATGCAAGTGCACATTACATACCAACAGGCACTTTTGGCTGGCTGACAGCAATCTTGAATAGATCATTGAGCTCCTTCTCCCTGGCCTTCTCTTCCTCCTTCTTCTTCTGCTCACGACATGGACATTTTTTAACAGGGGAAACAAATGAAACAGCAAATCTTGCCAATTCTGCACCGTTATTATTCCATTTCACCCAAAACACTAAACACTCGTTGTTTCTCAGCATGAAAATTAAAAAAAAAAAAAAAAAACCCAAGTACTCTCTCGTTTGTAAATTCCACAAGAACAATCAGGACCGATTGCTCCATACCCAATTCGCAAGCTGGCGTTTTCGATACGAGATGAGGAGAAAAGAATGACCTTGGCGGCGACTTTCGAGGCGTCGGGTTTCGGCTGGACCGATTGCTGGAGCGATTGGACGTACTTCTGGACGTTCTTGCTCTTGTTCTTGTTCTTGAGCCCGAACGTCTTGTCCTCCACGACCTTCTGCTTCTTCGCCACGTCCGCCTTGGATTGCTGCTGCTTCGGAGGCATTGTCGCTCGCCGCTGCTCGAATCAAGGACCGGGAAGAGAGATGAACGGAAGACGATCCGATCGAGCGCGGCGGATGGGGAAGGGCTAAGCGAGGATCGGATTGGTGGAAGGGGGATTTTGATGTTTTTGGAGGGGCGTGGGGCAGAGTTGGGAATGGGATTAGGGTTGTTCGTCCGGAACAAAAGCTTCCAAGGTTTCGAGCTTGCTCAGAGAGAGAGAGAGAGAGAGAGAGACAGTGGCAAATCGGGAAATAAGTGGCGAAACTTGAAGGCCGAGAGCCCATTCAATTAGGCCCATTCCTTCCTTTTACATGGCCCATTCCATTATTCTACAGATTATAACGTAGGAGGAGGAGAAGGGAAACATCATCAACTTCCACGGAAACTCTCAGAAAATTTTGTGTTTTTCTTCTTTTTAGATTAACAAGCGCGTTGAAGATCATCAATTCTCCTCAAAAACTCTTACAAATTTTTGTGTACATCTTTCCAAATTTAACGGTGCGTTAGCTCAACCTATGAGGCGGGGCCCCATGAATGCATTCCTTATTTGAAAGTCTTGATGTCCACACATTTCGCACCCCCTATTCCCCTTACATTTTTTTTCTTCCCTAGGATGAGGGAATACCCTCCGAAAATTTTACATCTCGGTGATCCCGAGGTCTAGACGAAGATGGAGATAGAGCCTTTTAAGGACCTACTCCGGTCCAATATTTGAACATCAAGGAAGAAGAAGATCATCAATTTCCACAAAAACTCTCAAAAAATTTGTGGTTTCTTCCTTTTAGATTTACAGGTGTGTCGAAGATCATCAATTTTCCACAAAAACTCTAAGAAAATTTTGTGTTTTATTTCTTTTTAGATATACAGGTGCGTCGCCCTAAACGCTTGACCGGGCCAAACACTACTGACTATTCAAAACCTCCTTATAAAAGTGCTAAAAATTAACATATCTGGCGCTTTAAAAAATTATACGCGTGTTTGGTAATATTAATAATTTTCACTTAAATGATTCGACTGAAATGGAGATAAGCTCGGTTCCTAATTCGTTTTGTAGAAAACATATTTAATGTAAAGTTAACTGTATTAGTGATAATTCCAAAACATCTCGAGATTACGCATGATTCGAGGTTTGATAGGAAAATAGTGATATTCAATATTCATTTGTGAATTCTTATCCAAAGCTTTTATTTTGATTTACAGCTTTTAACATTTTGACACTTAACATTTTTTTTAAATGACATAAATTTCTCCTAAACTTTGACCCAATGTGCATCCTTAAACATTTAATCTGTTCAATATGGTTCTTGAACTATTCCTAAATGTTCAATTTAATCCCCAAGCTATCTATTTGTTCAATCTAGCCCCTCAACTTTCCATAAAAACGTTAAAACTTTTTGTAATTACACTATTTCCCCAATATTAGAGCATTTTTTTGTTTTTATCCACTTTCTAAATCAATCAAAAAACATGTTTATCATTTTATTACCTTTTTACCCTTTTAGTCTTTATAAAATTACAATAGTTCCGTTTAGAATATTTAGCTTATGATCTCTATAATAGTTAGAGTAAAATTCATTTAGAATTGTATCGGATTGATATTCATGCTATTTTAATTACCTAGTTTACATATTTAACTAAATTTAATTAAGAAAATACGAAATGTAAAACATGAAAATTATATCGTTCTAAAAAAAATTGAGAACAAGATTTAGATTAATATAAGTACGAGAAATCTATAGAAAAATTAGGTCCCGTTTGGTTCAGCTTTCCAAAGGGCTTTTAGCCTCTAAAGCCTCTTGGGGAAATCCTCAACTTTGGGCTAATTTTTTTTCTTCCCAATTTACCATCACTAATTCTTTAATTATTCGATTTTGCTCCTCGTTGTTACTATTCATCTCTTTTACGCAAGGGCGGCTGGCTAGAGCCGACAAGGCCAAATCGGGATGGCAAAGGGCCAGCGAGAGGGTGACGAGGTTGTGCGACACCAACAAGGGGCGCCTGAGGTCGTGCGACCATCGCCACCCAAGCGACGGTGACCTATATGACACATTTATCCTCCGTCAAAATTTTGTCAATGAGAACCGTTAAAAATCTACCCACATGACCGCATGATACCCATAGGGCTTAAGTAAAATAAAAACGACGTTGTTTTAGCTGAAAAATCATTCTAACGGAATCTTGACGGATGGTAAATATGTCACATAAGTATAAGTTTGGGATTTTTTATGTTGTAAGAAAAATTTAGGATAAATGAGTTATAACAGGCATAGTTTGGGATTTTTTGACGTTACAAAAAAATTCAGGGTAAATGTGTCATAATAGTTATGGTTTGAGCATTTTTGTGACTATTTCTCTCTTTTTCTTATGAACATATTTTTCTTTCAATTTTTTTAACATATTTTGACACTAAAGGAGGGCATTTGCTCTTTATTTCTCACGGAACGTTTCTCGCTCTCTCTTTGTATTTGCCCTTATTTGAATTTTTTTCCCCTTTTCGGGGTTGACTTTGTGAGTTCGACTGGGGGCATGGTCGGGAAGATGACGACGTGGTCGTGTGTCTCGCTTCCAGCAAATAATCCGACCCCCAAAAAATGAATTTCAAATATGTCCGGATTTTTTCCAGCCGTTCTCTTTAATTAGTTTAACGGGGGGAATCGAAAGAGAGATACCCGAGGGAGAAAAAGAAAATCCCGCGGTAAGATTCCGGTGCGTGGGCACGCCGCCGCCGCCGCCCCTCCCTTCCCCCCGAAAGTCCGCCATTAACGATCACGTTTTCTTCGTGGAACCATCCCCCTGTCCAACCTCTCCCCCACCGTCACGTGCGACGAAGAAGACGACGACGACGACGACGACCCGCGACGCGAAGGAGAAGGAGAAGGAGAAGGAGGCCAAGAGCCCACGTCGCGTCGCCCCACGCTCTCCATGGAACCATCCGCCGCAACTCTTCCGAAACACCCCTCCGTCTGAAACACCGCCTCTTTCTCTCTCTATCTCTGTCTGTGCGCGCGCGCGCGCGCGCGTGTGTGTTGGCTTCTCCAAACCCTCGCCGGCCGACCCCAATGGCCGTCTCGAAGCGGCTCCTGCTGGCGAGGGCCTCGATGGTCGCGCGGGGCCTCTGCTCCGGGCTCGAGCTCGGATCGGCGCGGGGCTTTGCCTCGGAGCAGGAGCAGCAGCAGCAGCAGCTCCTCCTCCCGCTGCAGCGGAGCCCTGAGGGGAGGAATCACCAGTGGGTCTTCCTCGGCTGCCCCGGCGTCGGGAAGGGGACCTACGCCTCGCGGCTGTCGAGCCTCATCGGCGTCCCCCACATAGCCACCGGCGACCTCGTCCGGGACGAGCTCGCCGCCTCCGGTCCGCTCTCTTCGCAGGTTCGTGTTCCGTGTTGCGATCGAATCTTGGAATTTGTTGCTATCATGGGCATGGAGCGTCCTTAAACTTGGTTTAGCCGTTGAGCTTTAGGGAGGGAAGTGAAGTATTGTGGTGAGAGTGGATGCTTTTTAGATCGGTTGCGAAAATGCCTGGTCGTTTTATGTTCGTTGATTGATGTTTTGCAGCTTGCAGAGATCGTTAACCAGGGGAAATTGGTGCCAGATGAAATAGTTATGGATTTACTGTCGAAACGTCTCGAGGCCCGAGAAGCGAAGGGTGAGACTGGATTCATACTCGATGGCTTCCCTCGGACCGTAAGACAGGCGGTGAGAATTTCTGCTGTTTGGCTTTGGGTACTACTTGATTTGCTCCGATAGCTTCACTGAAGTGACTATTCTCTGTTGTTGAGTGGCTGATTTTATGTGCAATTTGATGGTTGAGTTGCCGAGTTATTGGGAAACTTCAGGGGCTAATAGTGTTAAGCATTTCTACGAGTGTAATAGCTGCAAATAACTCTGTAAAGTAATCCACCAATTGTTTTTCTACTTCTTTTTATCTTATTTTAGTAAAATGAGTAAGAAATTGTTGTTTTTGGTTCCAGTTCTTCTGTACCTTCTCAGCAAGGAACTGTCTTTACGCCTAAAGTTTAGGAGCAGTTTCGGTTGAATTGGAAATGTCCCCAGGCTGTTACCAGAAAGAATTATAAGCCTGATCCTTTACCATTTCAGTTCTACAGGCATATTTGTTGGCTATTATGTATGCCATGTAGTGAGCTCCTCGTGGACTATGTCCCACATTGACTGCACATGCTAGGATTGAGAGGATTATATTCCAAAAGCTTACTAAAAGCCGCCTAAGCTTTTGGAATTTTGGCAAGCTTGCTCTTGTAAGCTCTCACTTCCTCTACATGTGCTACTTTTTCTCCTTGTTATCGAGGTAAAGTCAGTCTACGAGATGATACTGAGTGATTTTATAGTCAGGACACCAGTGACAGGCACAATCACCTCCTATTTGTGGTAGTTTATCTAGTTGCAGCTCCTTTTAATTGTTGAGTTATATGGTGAAGTCATTGTTCTGCTTCAGTTAATTTACTTATATAGATTTTATTACACTGATGAAGATTACATGCCCAGGGGAGGAGGATAGATAGACCTTTGCAGTAATTGGGTCAAACATCACAGGCCATCCCTAGTGTCTTTCTCTTGCTGTCATTAAATCTATCACTATCTCAACCCTCTGTTGAAAAGTAAAGGTAGATTGCAATATAAATTTAAATAAATGTGTTCTTAGCTCACCCTGCCTTTGTTGCACATGTGATCTTTTGAGTAGGTACTAATCTGTCTTGTTTTGAGTAGTTTTTCAAAGTGGATCTGATGTCTGTCCGTAAGGCATGTCCGGTCGGACAATAACCAACCTTTTGCCTATAAGTCCTCCTTATCATCCAGAATGTACACGATTGAGATTGTATTTTACACCTATGTTTAAATCAATATACTTCTCTGAGTACAGAGGAATCCATATAAAAGTTCATCTGATTGGCGTGTCGTGTCGTGCGTGCGTGTGTTCGGGATCATCCCCAGCTCTTGTTTCTATGTGCTTCTCTGTGTGGCAAACTAGCATATTTCAAATGATTGTCCTTAGCTCAGCTTAGGGTCAATGTGTGGTGAAGGACCTTGTGTCTTAAGATGCCTAGCATCGTGCTGTCTTTTCGTTGACTTCCATAGCACTTTCTTGTTTAGAAAATTCTGTTTTTCTATTTATTGAGGAACTCGTCTTATTGTGGTAACTTTCAGTGAAAACTGCTTTTAACATAGTCATCATAGTTTCTTTATGTTTACGAATTTTTTTTGGTGCAGTTTCTTTTATATTTTCTCTGATTTTCAGGAGATATTGGAAGGAGTAACCGATATCGACTTAGTGGTCAATTTAAAGCTTCGTGAAGAAGCTCTACTGGCAAAATGCCTTGGAAGGAGGATCTGCAGTCAATGTGGAGGAAATTACAACATTGCCAGTATTGACATCAAGGGTGAGAATGGCCAACCTGGAATGTATATGGCTCCACTCCTTCCCCCTCCACAGTGTGCATCAAAGATGATCACTCGGTCTGATGACACTGAAGAAGTTGTAAAGGAACGACTTCGCATATACAATGAGCTGGTATGTCTCCATGATTCTAAAACTTCCGACCGTCTTGAGAACTTGCTGTTGTCACTGTCATCTTTGTCATCTACTTCTTAAAATACATGTATACTCGTGCATTCTCACAGCATCCCCCAAAAGAGGAGCATAACACGAGCAAAGCTCAAATATACTTCCCTCTTCATGTTTCTATATCATCTCTGAAATAACGATCAGATTCCGAGTTTGGTTTCTTCTTTGCGATCATGTATACCCTTGTTATCTGTGAATATTTGATTTGGCAGACAAAACCTGTGGAAGATTTTTATAGACAGCGTGGCAAGTTATTAGAGTTTGATCTACCAGGAGGGATCCCAGAGTCGTGGCCAAAGCTGCTGCAAGCTTTGAACCTTGGAGACAATGATGATAAAAGATCTGCAGCAGCATAATTTCTGACGTATTGTATCTAGAAGATGGGGAGTTGTTTCATTCTTTGTATGCCAAAGACGTCATTGCTACCTATTTCGAGTGGTACAGTAGGAATGTATAGACAATAAGCACGAGTCTGCCAGAGCAATTTTACGTGACCGGTTGCAGGTGAACGTCTCTAGAATTATCATAGTATTTGGATGCTAAGGGTTAACTGTATAAGCTATCTAATTGATTGATGATTCATTCTCACTGGAGAATATTCCAGTTGAGAGCGGTGGGAAATGAATTACCGGGTGTATTTCACATGCCAATATGAAGTGCGAATACTTAGTCAAAAAACATCAAGTATGAACAGAAATGGCGCGATGTCCCTCCTGCTTTTTTATTGTGCTTTTAGTATGCTACTCTCCTGTTTTTGCCTTTGGTTGCAAAAAGTCTGGATCTTTTCGCTGCAGTGATTTTTTTTTTTTTGGGGGGGGTGGGGTACTCGATGTAAGTGGTGCAACTTTGCAGCTGTTCTGTGAATTCTGGTTTACGTGCATGAGTTCCTTTGCGCGCACGCCCGCGGACACTGTCTTGATCTTTCTTAGTTGAGCACCCTTAGTAGGATGAGGCCATATTGTTGGTTATTGTTGTTGATCTTGCTTGATGGAATGCTTCAGTTAGGATGTCCAATGAAAGTCTGGTTGTGCAAGAACTATGCTCGTTACTGCAATACGAGATTATTGTTTTTTCACCGCCCCCCCTTATCTGGCATCACATTGTGGTGCCTTCAAACTTTGTTTTGAGGGTAATTCCTTGGATAATCGCTGTAAGTTGTACCTAATGTCTGGTCAGTGAGTTCTTTTACCAAACACATTAACTTATTCGCAATCGGTGCAGCCCCGTCAGAATTTTCACCCGAAACTTGGAGAAATCCCGATCACAGCGTGGCGATTGCAAGTAAAGTTCATCATATTCGAAAGAAACGAAATTTGAAAGCCCCGGGGACCGAACATAAGTCGCTCCAGAGTAGGAAACTACCATTGTATATTGATTAATTTGAGCCTTGAGGAGTCTTGAATTGCCTGTGATCGTCAAGGGCAGTGTCTTCGACCCAGAACGACAAGAAACGCCAATCCCTCGATTTTGATCATATCAAGTTGTATTCTTGTCAATGTTCCAAACTTCTTCTCGATGATGCGGTCTGCTTGTTTGGGGAAAATTACCAAAAAAGTCCTAAACCTTTTGCAATTGTGCCAATTCAGTCCTAAACCTTTTTTTTTTGCCAATTCAGTCCTAAACCTTTTACAATTGTGCCAATTTAGTCCATTCGGCCACTTTTGGCCGGCCGGTGCTGACGTGGCAATTTTTAATATATATTTTTATTATTTTTCGATTTTTTTTTTCTCTTTCTTTTTTTTTTCCCCTATTTTCTTCCCCGATTGCCGGTCCGGCGACCGGCGAGAGACTGAGGCCGGCGGGGTGGACCTCGCCGGCCATGGGCGAGGCTGGCCCTTGCCGGCATTGGCGAGGCCTCGCCAGATCTGGGCGAGGCCTCGCCAGATCTGGGCGAGGCCTCGCCGTCGCTGGGCAAGCTCGACCTCGCCCGGCCATGGCGAGGCTCGACCTCGTTCATCGACGGCGAGGTCTCGCCAGATCTGGGCTGCCTCGCCGTCGCCGGGCGAGGTCGAGCCTCGCAGTCGCCGGGCGAGGTCGACCTCGCCAAGCGACGGCGAGGTCTCGCCAGATCTGGGCGGCCTCGCCGTCGCCGGGCGAGGCCTCGCCCAGATCTGGCGAGGTTGACCTCGCCGTCGCCGGGCGAGGTTGACCTCGCCGGCACTGGCGAGGCCTCATTAGATCTGGGCGGCCTTGCCGTCGCCGGGCAAGGTCGAGCCTCGCCGTCGCCAGGTGAGGTCGACCTTGCTAGGCGACGGCGAGGTCTCGCCAGATCTGGGCGGCCTCGCCGTCACCGGGCGAGCTCGACCTCGCCCATGGCCGGCGAGGTCCACCCCGCCGGCCTCAGCCTCTCCCCGGTCGCCGGACCAGCGACCGGGGAAGAAAATAGGGAAAAAAAAAAAGAAAGAGAAAAAAATAAAAAATCGAAAAAAAAATTATTAAAAATTGCCACGTCAGCACAGGCCGGCCAAAAGTGGCCAGATGGACTGAATTGGCACAATTGCAAAAGGTTTAGGACTGAATTGGCCAAAAAAAAAGGTTTAGGACTGAATTGGCACAATTGCAAAAGGTTTAGGACTTTTTTGGTAATTTTCCCGCTTGTTTGCTACGGATTTTAAGGCGCGGGGTGAAATGAGGACGACTGAAAAATATGTGCAGAGAAGTGACCGTGATTCCCTGTCGGTTAAGGAGGGGGAATAAGCAAAAGAAGTTCTAAATTTTTCGATTTTACCAATTTAGTTATAAATCTTTTAACAATTTGTCAATGTAGTCCATTCAGCTAATTTTGACCGGAAATTAATGACATTGACGTCGGGCGTCTTACGTGGTACAACCAATCTAATGCGGAAAATTTTTAAAATTTTATTATTTTTTTCATTTTATTCTCTTTTCTATTCTTTTTTCCGGCGGGGTTGCATATGTAATTGGGTGTAACCCAATATTATTGGATTGTAGGTAAAAGTGTCAAAAAAAGTCCTAAACCTATAATATTTGTGCCAAATTAGTTTTAAACCATTTAATTGTGCCAATTTAGTCCCAAACTTTTTGACTAAGTGCCAATTAATCCTTCCAGTTAATTTTGGCCGGATATTGCTAATGTGAATGCCAACCGGCCTACATGACATAACCGATGCCGACGTGAACAATTTTTTGATAATATTTTATTTTTTACTATTTTTTTCTTTATTTCCTGTCTTCTTCCTTTTCTGGTGACCAGCCATCGGCTATGGCCGGGCTGGATGGTCTCGCTTGGGCGAGGGTCACTATCGCTCGTCACAAGTGAACCCCGATGGGGCTCCCCTCACCAAATCTAATGAGGCAGGCCCTCGCCAGGCTAGGGCGGCCTCGCCAGATTTGGCCTAGGCGAGGCCGACCCTTGCCGAGGCACGCCCTCACTTGTGGCGGGGGACGGTGACCTTCGCTCAGGCAAGGCCCGCCCGCCCGCCTGGCCATCGCTTGTAGCCGGTGGTTAGTCACCGGCAGAAGGAAGAAGAAGGAAAAAAGAAAAAAAAATAAATCAAAAAAATTAAAATATTATTAAAAATTATCAACGTCAGCATCGACGGTGCCACGTAGGCCAGTCGCGTCCACGTCAGCAACATTCGATCAAAATTTGTCAGAAGTACTAAATTGGTATCGAGTCAAAAAGTTCATGATTAAATTGATATCAATACATTAGGTTTAAAATTTTTCTGACACTTTTTCTTTCGATAGTAAGATATATCTAAAATAAATCAGACAAAAAAACCTTAAATCAAACGTTTTTTAGGGAGGATGTCGGTCCTTGATGTGTGTGGGCACGGAGACCCCAACAACAAGAACCGAACAGGGCACGTGAATCCGCAGAGGCTCCGGACGCAAGTTTTGCCCCCCACCAAAACCCATGCCACGTGTTGTTTTTTGAGTGGTTTTTCCACATGGTCCAAGATATTTTGGGCGTCTCTTGTGTTACCCTCCGGTGCACCTTCTAGTATGCCTCTCTCTTCGGACAACCTACTTATCACCTCTTAATAAACAAATCACAGCTGGAATTTCCAAATGCTACAAATAAAGAGTAAAATATTTTGGCCTTGTTTATTTCGTAGAAAATAAATAATTTGAAAAGTATTTTCTTGAAAATGATTACTTGTATTACTTTACATAAATGAACGAACAAACAATATTCTCATCGTCTACAAAAATGTTTAGATTTATATTATTGTTAATAATAAAAAGATTTTTCATTAACTAATCATTTCAAGCGATATAAGTGATTATTTTTTTAAAAAATATTTTTAAAATTATTTATTTTTCACAAAACAAACGGAACTTTTGCCCTGCACAAAAATGAGAATAATAGGCGGATGACATATACGCCTCTCTCTCTCTCTCCCTCCAATGATGTTATCTAGCTTGTGATATGTGGAATCTTACTCACAATTTTTTTTTGCCATTTGGGTGGGGGATCTATATTTGGATGTGTAAATGTTTTTTGATACATTTTCTCGATGTCCCATGGGAAATTTCTTTTTATCTCTTTAGATGGCACGAATTTTGGCGAAAAGAAAAGGGTAATTGTAAATATGTAATCTGCATTTTCACTTATAAATTGTCTAGTAACACAAACTATCTACCAGAAAGCTATTGATATTTTCATCCGGCTTAAAGATGCATGTATATGGGCCAGTCAAACTTCTAAGGGCATGTATCCTTAAATATAAAGTGTAAATGGAGAATCCCTTAATATTTTCAGCCTTTCAGAGAGTGCAAAGATAGGTGCATGATTATCCTTTAGGATTCGACAGACCTTCTGATTAGTCAGCACTTTTCTATACGAGCAAAACAAGAATAGCAAGAAATGTTGTAAATATGAATGGCTTCGAATCAAAGAGCAATCAAGTCGGACTTTGAGGCGTGATATCACTTTCCTTAAGGATTTATTTGCCCCACAATTATTGCTAATGGTCACCGGCAAAAATCCTCCGGGATACAACAAAGTCTCAAAATGAGAATACTAGATAGCAATTCTAGTATTTCTCCAGGGTCTCTCTAGGAAACAAAGAAATGATGACTGTAGTTTTCGAAAGAAGACTTGAAGAAATTGATCTCTCTTTTCTTTCTTGCCAAAAACTGACATATATAGAAATCGGTCTTAAAGAACATTGGCAACTCTTCACGAAAGGTTGCAAAGCTAATAAAGATATTCCTTCGGAAGAAGTTGCAAACTGAATAGATGCAACCCTTCGGAAAAGATTGAAAACTGAACAAGTATAATCTTCAAAAGTTGTCTTGGAAAGACACATGTAAAATTCGGAATAAAATAAATAAATAAATATATAATTCCGAATTTTCATAATTTCGAAAATTACTTAATAAACAAAAAACAACCTTTCAAATAATAAAAAATTAATAAGATAACCTTACGAAATAAGATAAAAATATAAAGGGATTAGTGCTAATTAAACCGCGCACCCGCACGCGGGTATTATGTGGACTAGCACACACCCCATTGTCTTCACTCTAAAGAGCAAGAAGATATTCACAGTTATAAAGTGGCCCACTTTCTCAAAACTTTCCTATGTGGGACAAAGGAAAATGCACTATTTTGTTTGTTTTACAAACAAACAACCAACAATCCCCCACTTTGTTTGTAAAACAAAATACCAACTAAGATTAAAAAAAAAAATACAGCCATAATTTCCATGAGATTAATATACATAC